GCTGTTTCTCAGACTGAAACAGCTCACAGTAAAATCTCTGTTAAAATGGCAAATAGAGGGACCTGGATAGTTAGTTAAACCAAGTAGATTCATGTTTGGAAATTATAAAATGTGCTCACTTATACATTAGAGCAGACAATATAATGTATCATGTGCTACTGGAATACGGAAATGGTATTTCATGTAACTCACATGGATATATGGGACTCAAAACGGTGTTTAGTTATAAGCATTGCCATACCTAGAAATACCTAAGGGTTAGCTATAATTTTTTTAATTAAAAATTTTAAATGTCACAATTATATCCAATGGAGCTCTCTTTTCAACTCATCTCCTCAATTTGTAAGAGCATAATAAATGCAGAAGACTTATTACATCCAGAAAAGTAAAGAAACAAACAAAAAACACAAAGGAAAAAACCATTTACTCATTAGCAGCCCATGGAGAGAGCAATTCCCAGACATTACTTTTATTGATATTAATCTTTCCTATGAACAAAGGGAGGAGTCCAAATGGCATAGTGGTCATTCGCTGGGCTGAAATCCACAAAGTCAGCAGTTCTAAACCAGCTGTTCTCCAAGGGAGGAAGGTCTTTCTACACCAGTTAATATTTACCGTTTTAGAAACGCACAAGGGGCAGTTTTACCTTGCCTTATAAGGTTTCTGTGGTAGTTACATAATCTGGTGTCAATTTGGGACTTGAGAAGATTAAAAGTGATGGGGCAGAGTCTACTCTATCAAGCAGGTCGTAGCCAATGAGGCCTCTGTGTGGGTATACCCTTCTGAGAATTCAGGGAACTTCTGTATTTCCTCCTTGGAGGTGGGAGACACTGTCTCTCTCTGCTCTCTCCCTGAGAGACACTCGACTGACAAGACACACGCCGCTACCCCCTGGCAGCTGGAGAAGCCACATGGACCTCCCCTAATGCAACCAGACCTCTGAAGCTGGAGAAGCCACATAGAGAGCCCTGTCAGCACTGAGATGCTTACAATGCCACTGGACCCATAAGACCTCCCTGGCATGTGATCCTCCTGCATTTGGCATCATTGCATGTTTTCTGAGGAGGACTTTATAGATTGGTATCGGACATATGGGCTAATATTGGAATTATGGACTTGATCTGGACTGGGCTGGAATATTTCCCCAATATTCAAATGCTCTTGAATATAAACCTCTTTCTTATATGCATATGAATGTCTACAAATTTGTTTCTCTAGTCTACCTGGACTAACACAGCTGCTATGAGTGGGCACCGACTGAAGGGCAGTCAGTTGTTATTTTTCTTTTATTTGGACAAAAAGCAACACAGCCCTACCTACTTAATACAGTTTTCCTGCCTTAATCACAAGATTCAGAGTGTTCCTTCCAACTGCATTTCTTATTCTCAAAGCCACGAGAACAATTTTCCCTAACTCTAAGTAGGAATGACACTAATAATGGTCTTGGTGGAATTTTTTTTTTCGTTTTTACATATTCTCTCTTATATTTTTGAGTAAAATATATATTAGCTGGAAAAGGTCAATCTCATTAAATTTCTATGAGGTAGAAGCATGTATGTTTATTTAGACCACATAATTCAATTCAAGTAAAAATAAACCATGTGAGTGCATAGCCTCCCGAATTTCACCCAAATCTTTCATTATAAAAGGTTTAGATGCAAATCTAAATTTAGTTACAGATGAAAAGCTGCTTAAAAAAATGAGGAGCTGATTCCAGGAGCCCAAGTGGAAAGCGAGTTTTGAGAATGATGAGGGCAATGAATGTATACGTGCGCTTTACACAATTGATGCATGTATGGCTTGTGATAAGAGTTGTATGAGCCCCAATAAAATGATTTTTAAAAAATTAACCTGAGTGTACCCCAGTTGAAATTCTCCAGCACTGAACAGTAAAATATGGTAACATGTATTGTTTTCAAGGGGAGAGCTGAAAATGACACACATAATGTTGTCTCCTAGTGGTCAAAGTGTCTGTTTAATTTTTTAAAGGGATAGTGGAGATTTTACTCAGATGAAAACGAGTTATTCACTCATTCAAAACTTTACCAGAAATGAGATAATAGTCAAGAGCTACCAAGATATGCCAAAATACCAAAGTCACTGCGAGTCGATTCCAACTCCCAGCAACTTTCTAGGACAGTGTAGAACTGCCCCTGTGGGCTTCCCTGACTGTAACTCTTTACTGGACTAGATAGCCTTGTCTGTCTCCTGCAGAGCAGCTGGTGATTTTGAACTGCTGACCTTGTAGTTAGCATGCAACAGGTAAGCACTGCAGCACCAGGGCTATACAGTCCGTGGAAAAGCATTTCTTGGGATGACCGTTATGATTGGAAGCTAAAGGCTAGGCTATTGGTCCCCACTGAGCCCAGTACTACGTTACAGCGGGACGTCTACAGCAGATGGAGATGAAGCACACTTTGCAGCAGACACTGCTGAAGCTACAGTGGCGCCTATTTTCTAGTAAGACAGCTGAGCTTGATCGGATCATAGTAGATGGGTAGTGACGGGGAGGGCAGAGGAGGAAATGGTGAGCTCCATCCAGTGATATCAGAGGAGGCTTCCTGGAGGAGAGTTTAATAGTAACTTGGGTGAATGCAAAAGCCAACTAAATAAATACAATGTTAGTTGTAAAAACAAACAAACAAAAAGCAGGCCATGGGCTAACATAGAAATCTTGCAGCACCCCGCCCCCCCCTCCCATTTTTTTTACAGGATTGAGTAGGGTTGATTGTATTTGTTAGTGCAATGTGTCTATACACATTATTTAAATGACTTTTTGTTTCCAGAGAAAGTCATTCTGATGATTTAACCATAGATGGCTGAAGACCACCATCGAAGGATGGTGTTTGGAGCCAGTGTGACATCAGCAAGACAAACTGGAAGAGCCTTCAGATCTGAGATTTGCTGCATTTAAGTGAAGAGTATGCTGACTGTTCCATGAGAGTGTTGACTTCTAAAGAGCTGTAGGGTTTACTGATTTGATTATCTTATACTGCTTCTACACTACTACAGAGGAGTGTTTTGCTCATTTCACTTGCAAATGCACATTTCAAAGGTTGCTATGACTATTAATAATAAACTGTGTCAGGAGTCCCTCAGAGAAAGAGTGGCCACCATGCTTTATTCAATAAACAAGACATCTATCAGTGCCTATAATTATGAATAAAACTTAGTACCTTTCCTCAAGAAACTCTAAGGAGGGTAAGGGGAGAAAGCTATCGTCGCGTTTGATGAGCCTTGAAAGAGAGGCATGTGCAGGGGTTGGAAATGGCTCAAAGGATGAAGTGATGACCTGTGTGGAGAAGTCAAAGAAAACACCACGCAGGAGGTGCCATTTAAGCAGTGGCATGAAGGACAACTAGAAGGACCTGTGAATTTAAAGAGTGGTGTGTGCTACCTGGGTAGAGAAAGGAATTTTGCATTGAGAGACTGTTTGTCATGGAATCTTTTTTACTTGAATTGAATGTCTGTGAAATGAGAGCTTTCAAAAGGAAGAGTGAAGAAAACCAGTCTGGAGAGATTCAGAAAGGCTTGATGTCCTAGATCTAACAAGGCTAGACTGTGAAGCCAGGACTTGGTTATGTAACGGATACGGTTTTGTTAAAGAGGTTTTAAAGGGAAATTGATGAGATGAGACGTAGCTTTTTGTTGTGTTACATAGTCGATGAAAAGAGAAACAAAGGTAAAATCAGGGACTGTCGCAGGAGAGCTAATATTAAATGGTGGCCGTTTGGACCCGAGGGCTGTAGAAATGGAAAGAAGTGGGCAGATCTAGGATATGTTTTAAGATCCGAGCAATAAAGGCTTTCTAATGTATTGGAGGTGAGGCAATGGATAACGTTTAGATGTTTGAATTGAGCACGTGTGTAGAGGTTGGCAACGTTTCGTGTAATGGAAAAGACCAGGGGAAAACAGATACCATCAACCAGTCAGGTAAGAAATGAAGAGTTCTAGCTCATTGGTGAGTTTGAAATGAATACTAACTGAATTCTGTTAGGAATGAATAACTTGTCCAAAATAAGGTTTAATTCACATTCATGAATTGGACATACATTTTGTAAGCATCTCCATGCTGGGTTCTTCAAAGTGGAACAAAGCAGAGCTTCCTGAACTCGTTGCCAGTTGGGTGGATAAAAGAACAATAATAGCCTAAGACAATATGTAATAAATGACATGAGGTGAGTAAATAAGCAATTTATGATAAGAGCTTCGAGGGATGAAAATTGGATCACACATCCATCAAACTTAGAGCTAAAGCTCGATGAACAGAGAATGGATTGCATTAGAAATAATAGAAATGCCAAGAGCTAGCAATTGTCTCAAATAAAAGAGTTTATTAGAATGGAACTAGGTAGCACGGAGATTTAAAAACCTAAAACAATAAATAACTTGTAATGATACTTGTGGGAGAAAGGTGAGACTTTTTACTCCCATGAATCTAAGATTCCAGTCTCAGAAATGCACGGAAGCATTCCAATCCCTACTATAAGGCTGCTCTGAGTCCGAATCCATTTGCTGGCAGGAAGTTGGGGTTGGTTTGGTCAATTGACCCAATAGGAGCGAAGTCATTGTTCAGTAGCTATTCCTCATGACTATTACTGACCACACCAAACCAACTAACCTAAGTTCCTTTTTAAAAATTAAAGTTCTTGCGCATCTTAATTTATTTAATAATGAAATTAGTAACATTATTTTCTTGATCTTCACTATGGAGGACGTCAAGGCCGAGATGAGAAAGAAACCAGGAATGCTGGCTTGAAAGTTTATACACTTATTAAACCACACCTCTTGCTGCTGAATCATGGAGACCTGTGTGCTTCAGAGTGAAACTTCCAGAGTGTTCTATTTGAATGCATTAACTCGCCCAATATAAAATGAGTAAGCGGACGCTTTAGAGGGGGGTGTCGGAGCGCGTGGTGATCGCGCGCTGCCAGGCAGGCGGAGCCGGTTGGAGAGCCGGTAGCGCCAGGTGGAAAGGAAGCCAACAGCTGGGCCACCCAATGGCTGCCCTCTATGGGGGCGTGGAGGGGGGAGGCACACACTCCAAAGTCCTTTTACTCTCCGAGGATGGGCAGATCCTGGCAGAAGCCGACGGCCTGAGCATAAACCACTGGCTGATCGGGGTAGACAATTGTGCGGAGAGGATCAATGAATTGGTGAACAAGGCCAAGCAAAAGGCAGAAATGGACCCCGAGGTGCCGCTGCGCAGTCTGGGCCTGGCCCTGGCAGGCGGGAGGCGGGAAGACACCTCGGAGATGCTGGTGGAGAAGCTGCGGAGCCAATTCCCTCAACTGAGTGAAAACTACCTTATCACCACTGACGCCTCCGGCTCCATCGCCACCGCTGTGCCGCACGGTGGGGTCGTGCTCGTCTCCGGGACAGGTTCCAACTGCAGACTGGTCAACCCCGATGGCTCCGAGAGCGGCTGCGGGGGGTGGGGCCACATGATTGGAGATGAGGGCTCAGCCTACTGGGTGGCTCACCAAGGAATGAAAACCGTGTTTGATGCTGTGGACAACCTAAAGACGGCTCCCCATGGCATTGCTTATGTCAAAAAGGCCATGTTAAGCTATTTCCAAGTGCAAGATCAGGTAGGAATCCTCACCTACCTGTATAGGGACTTTGATAAAGGCAAGATCGCTGGGTTTTGCCGCACCATTGCAGAAGGTGCTCAACAGGGCGACTCGCTTTGCCAGCACATCTTCCGGAAGGCTGGGGAGATTCTGGCCAGACACATCGTGGCTGTGTTACCTAAGATTGACCCGCTCTTGTTCCAAGGACAAATGGGACTCCCCATTGTGTGTGTGGGCTCCATGTGGAAGAGCTGGGAGCTGCTGAAGGAAGGGTTTCTCACTGTGTTGACCCAAGGCAGAGAGAGCCAGGCTCACAACACCTTCCCCAGCTTTACCTTGATGAAGCTAAAGCAGTCATCGGCCCTGGGTGGGGCCAGCTTAGGTGCCAAGCACGTCGGGCACCTCCTCCCCTTGGACTACAAGGCCAATGCCACCCCGTTCTACTTCCACACCTTCTCCTTTGGAATTGGGCCCTGCTTCCCCCCCTCTAATACCCATAGACACCGGTTGCCGCAAAGGGGGTTCTTTCTTAATTTTTTCTTAAGCAGAAAAAAAGCACCGAGAGAAGAAAATAATGACAATTGAACCATTCCCCTTTTTAAACGTTTAGGAGGGGATTTTGGGGGGAGGCGGATATGGAATTTAAGATTTAAAATAAAATGAATGGATACATTTAGAAAGCCTGCACTATTTACAGGAAGATGAAAGCCAGATAGTGTCGACTATAATGCATAGCATGTAGACTCGAACGTGAACGAATGTCATGGAGAAGACTTGTGAGTTCAAGAAAGAAAGTTATAGAACAATGTAGCAGATAACATTTCAGTAAACCTCTTGACCCCCAGAAGGGAGTGTCATGTTCCATTCAACAGTTAGTGGAGCACTAGTGCTCTCACATCTAACACTGTGAGGAGGGCGGAAACCAGATGTTTTTGTTGTTGTGGAGAGTAAGGATTGAAGCATGAATGGAGACTGGAAAGAAAGCTGGGAGTACAGGCACTGCCTATTCCTAGTGTGCAAAGGAGGCGTCCCCGTGAAGGAATTGTGCTGTGGACAGAGGAAGACTTCCTGGAAGTTTCATCAGGATACGCCCAATCTTTTCACTCCATAAACCTGCATGTCCAGCTCCCAACGGACCATGGGAAGTCACCCGCGGTGGGCTCCTTCTGTGCCTCTGAACTGGACAGACCCATCCGGGGCCTTTCATCTCACATTACTTCAAAAACACTCGAGAGCAGACTCGTCTTCTTTCCCATGCTCCGGCCTCATTTCTTCCAGAATGCAATATCCATTGAACTAAAATAGCTGTCAACTGCTAATAAATAAGAAGCATTAAACAAAACTCACTCTAATGGAGCTGTGTGGGGGTGACAATGTATTCAGAGTCAGTCAGGCGTCCCAGCAGCTTGCTCCTGAGGACGCCACTTCATAAACAGAGGCATTGATGGGCATCCCGGAGCTCCGGGGCTCTCCAATTCCCACATCTCCTCAACAAGAGAGGGGACATATTAACAGGAACCGTGCATTATATCCCTATCAGAGTTAAACAAGTTCGTCCTTGGCATTCTGGGAGAGATTTCAAAATATCTGGGTCTGTAGAATTTCTCTGTTCATAGCCTGCGTGTGTTTTTCTGTCTGCGTGTTTGTGTCTCTGTTGATACTCATCTCTGAGTGAGTGTGTGTGTTCCTGTAACACTATATAGAATGGTTCAATATTTTTGAGTAGTTTGAATATAAAAGTAGATTATTTCTGACAAAAGTAATGAACGCATGAAATAAGTAAAAAGCATTTGTTTCCCCACCACACCTCAACTGAAAAATGTGTCTTGCTGGTATATAAATCCAGAAATGTGGATACAGTCTAGAGGCCTTTTGTTGTCCACTCGTTCTGATTGCCGTTCACACTACTCCAGATGAATCATGCTGTGGCTGCTGACCACGGAACATGATTCTTTTTTCTCCTTGAGTTAGGACATCTGAATAGACACACAAGATGGTACATAATTTGCTGTGCCTGATGAAAAATAAAAGTGCCTTTGTTCAAAAATATATTCAGAATTCCACGAAGGGTGCTCCAGGGCTCTAAGTCAAGCCCATTGCTCATCCATGTGATTCACAAATCAGAGACTTTTGAAACCAGCCCAACAGAAGTGAATCAAAGACTAGCCTTCCTATAAAATAGCCACACACATTTTGATTATTCCATTCAACTTAGAACACCTTCATACATTATTTTGCAGTTATACAATGCCTCATTTTTTAGAAAATAAACTTTTCGAAATGGGGTTTCGGTTGCAATGTAGAAATCAGTGATGGCTTAGAACAATTTAACCTGTGTGCATAGTTCCTCGAAACTGGGTGACTTGAACTCCCAGTTCTCACACCTATCTCTTTATTTTCCTCTCGTTCTCTCAATTGCCTCTTCCATCTCTCTTGAAGAGCTGCTGTTGTGTGCCCCGGAGTCTGTTCTGATTCAGGGAGACCCTGAAAATTGGCCTCGGCTGTTGTCTTCACAGAAATCGGTCAACAGGTCTTTCGCCCAGGGCCTGCCTCCCCACCACCCCAACACTGCCGCGGAGTCAATGCTGCCTCATAGTGACCCCCTGGGGGTTCTGAGGTGGTAACTGTTTACAGGGGTAGAAGAGCTACTGTGGTTTCAAACTGACAACCAGGTGGATTGTAATCCAGTGGATAACCACCGTACCACCAGGGCGCCTCCTAGGGAATGCCCAGTGAGTTTTAAGTGCTAACCCTTCAGTTAGCAGCCAGGGCTCCTTCATGCAAAGCACAACACAGGAAAGGTCCACAGGCTTCCAGTCTTTGCAAAATGGAAATGATCTACTGTATCCGTTATTGTCCCTGTGGGAACCATCCAGTAAACCCTACACTTGCTCTTCTTGTTACCCTTCGGGAATGGCTTTTTACTTCAGAAAATTGACATGACATGACTAAAACCACCTGGGTGCTCACTATTATCTGGACATGAGCATAAATTTTATACGAGCAGCAGCATCTCTATTATATCTTTGGGAGGTCCAGGGGATAGCCTCCAAGATGTTAATGAGGGTTGACTTGGTAAATCCAGAGCAACAGACCATTTTCATATAGAAAGCAATGTCAAAAGAAAAAAAAGTTTCATTTCCCTGTATGGCTAGCATTTGTCAGTTTTGAAGCTAAGTCCTTATTAGTGTCTCTAAAAATGCTACTTTGGAGATTCGCTTTTTTTAATAAGTGGGAGAGAAAAAAGCTAGCCAGAGAGCTGTGGTTATAAAGCACATGGAAAATTGAGCTCATTTGGCTTTTGCTGTGCTAGATGAACAATCTCTTATCAGCAGACTTTTTGTACTATTTTCTAAGACTCTCAAACTGAGCAGAGCCACAAGTTCTCATTGAATCTTCTTTTTTCCCTCATTTCCTCCACCAACAAGAAGTAGAAAAACATGATATGAAAGTATCTGTGAAATATGTATATATTTGTCACAATGGACTAATTCAGTCCTCCTTATAACCCGCAGGGAAAGCTATCAATCTACCCAGGGTCTTTCTTGCTGTGATGGTGTAGTTGATTGGTGGTTCAGCAATTTAGTTTAAGGACTGGTCTTTACCCAGCACATGGATTTGGACCTAGGTGAGCATGCTGGCAAGAGCTGAATGATTTATCCTATCATTCAGATATCTGTAATTTTTTTAAAAAGTGAAAAATATATGATCTAGAACTGTCTATTTAAAAAACATGTTTGATTTCAGACCAAGAAATCAGGGGAACTGTGTGTTTTCCACCAAGCAGCAAGGAGCACAGCTGCACCTAGAGGGTTAAGGTAGTTAAATAGAAAGATATATGTTTTAATGGAGTTGGGCTTTAAAATTACTTCTAATTTATCCACTTAGCAGACATGTATTGAGGTAAAATGATCAGTAGTAATGTGCAGCAGAAAGATATATACTTTTTTAATTGTAGCCAAGAGGAAAAAAAGCAGCATGGAATAACTTAATCATTGCTAATTATAATATCACTGAGGTAATTACAATAGGTTTTGATTGTCTCATTTTCACGCCAGAGGCGGGCACAATGCTGGCATTTCTCTTAATACATATTTGTTTTTAGAGAAGAGCTGACAATTACACTAATTGTAGTCACAGCATGAAACTTTGTTTTTAAAGAAAAATTTGTCTACATGTCACATGGAATAAATGTACCCTTTCTGTTTGGATAGGTGCAAATTAAAGACACATTAATTGCTTTGTTTACTGTGGTGAGAGATCTCTGCATTGTTGCAAATATTACCAATTTTACAGGAGCAAAATTCTTTTCAAAGTCTTCAAATCCCAACAAAGTGTCCCACTGCTAAAAACGGGTCACTGATGAGAGATTTGGAAGACAGCCTGTTCTCATCGCCGGAGCGTCTTAACTTCACAACTTCCACTCAGGAAGACACAGGCGAGTCCTGATAAGGAACTGCCAATGACAGCTGACGTTTCAGATGAGTCTTATCCCTGCTGCTGCCCAAACCAATTTGAGCACCAAAACTATCTGAATGGACAGGGTGTGCCGTGAGGAATGGATGACAGGGCCTCATAACCACAGGCGGCCAGAAAGCTGACCCTTCGCACAGTAGAAGAGGGTAAATCAAAGGCCTTAGATTTGCAAGTGTCGTCAGAATAGGTCTCTGTGCGTTCCTGCCCACGCGTGGACTGCAGACCCAGGGGCAGCCTCTATTGTCACCCTCTCCTTGGTAATGAGAAAGTAGCCTCAGAGCTGGGCTTTCCCCTCCATGAGATGCCTAAGTGCGCTCTCTTCAGCTGATCTTTCCAATAAGCTGTAATTAAACTGTTGGCCATTTCTGTTTTTTCCCCTTTGGTAACCATCTCACTAGAGTTCCAGGAGGAGAAGGGAGGGCTAGCCAGCTAGAATAGCCAGCTAGCCAGAGACATGGGTAGCACCTTGATTAGGTGGCTGGCCAGCCATTAGGATTTCTTAATTGACGTCTATATTATTGGCCTAGATCATTCTTTACTGTGGCAAATCTTATTTTAAAAAGGAAATCCATGCCACGTGACTTGAGTGGCCTACACGGAAAGCTAAGATAAGCCCTATAAAATACTCGGGATCAAATTGTCTCACATTACAGTGGGGCATACCAAGCCGATCCCCAAAGCAGAGGTCACCTAGCAACTGAGGCAATAGGGCCTCGATAATTTAGTGAAACTGTCCGTCCGAGAAAGAATTTATAATGTATAATGCAATAGGTAAGCGCTGTCAATACTGCATAGTTTTCTCTCTTCTCATTTCTTTCACTTGCTGAGGAATCAGGACACATGAATGGTACAAAACAACATCATACATTCAATAGGTCTAAATAGGCAAGGTGGAGTGACAGCCGAGAAACACAGAGAAGTTCCAATGGATGACTTGTCTAGACAACCCTCAGTAAGGGCATTGGCATTTTCTAGACTCCTTAAGGGTTCCTTCAGTCTCGGGGACATCTTTACTCTGCTGCAACGCCCACTGGGTCACGCTGTCCAGTCTTTGCCCTGACCTCTTGCATCTGATTCCCTTAGCTCCATTCCCACTGTCATTCCTCTAA